TCTTTTCTTTATTGTTTTTAATATATTGATTTCACCCCATCCTGTCCCCAAGATCCCAAATCAATCATCCTCAAATTGCCTCCAAATCCACAAATCGATCATCTCAAATACATCACAAAATCTTAAAAAATATTACATCACAACTTCTACAAAATTCATCACATATTCACATCACACACAAATCAAATACATCACACACCAATCTCAGATCCGAATCACAAGTTCTCCCAAAAAAAAGAAAAAAATAGCAGACGCAGGCCGCCGCCTCGCCACGCCGCCGCCGCACCGGCCAGCCCGCCCTCCGCGCCGCCGCGAGGCCGCCAGCCGCCGCCGCGCCGGCCGCCAGACCGGCCCTCCGTGCCCCGCCGCTGCAGTAGAGAGGAGGGAGAGGAGAAGCTGCAGTAGAGAGGAGGAGAGGAGAAGGAGAGGAATAGATATAAGGTTGAGGAGAGGAGGAGAGGAGGAGATACCTCTATCCGATTGCGCACGCCTCTCCGATCTTCACGTCGATCTTTTTTCCCGAGACTACAAATAGATATTTAGTCCCGGTTAGTGACACCAACCGGGAGTAAAGCGTATGGCGATCTTTTTTTCCGGTTGGTGTTATCAACCGGGACTACAAATAGATCTTTAGTCCCGGTTGGTAACACCAACCGGTACTAAAGATTGAAAAGTACCTTAGAGTTTTTAAACCGGGACTAAAGATGTTTTTAGTCCCGGTTTTTAATACAACCGGGACTATTGTGAAATCTGGTCGACCGACCAAAGATGATTTCTCCACCAGTTTAACGAGAAACACCTGCCTTAAATATAAGTGTGTTATCGGGCGGTGCCCTCTCTACCGAATAGAGGATGAAACCGCCTTAAACCTTATCGCCGACTGCAAATATACCAAAAGGTTTGGAGCCTGGTAGCCTTTTGGATAGGGTACCAACAGCTTGCAGCCCTGACAATGGAGGAAGAATCGGATCGGACGGTCCAAGAGTGGTGGGAGATGCTAGCCGCTTCGGTGGGCGTACCCAGAAAGGACCTACGTACTTTGATTCTCCTAATCGTTTGGGAAACTTGGAAAGAGCACGACCGGAGGATCTTCGACCAAAAGGAAGCCACTTTATCCTCCCTGCTTTTGAAATAAAGGAAGAAGACTGTGTGTGGGCCTTGGCGGAGCTAAGCGACTGCGTGAGTTTATACTGCATCTTGTTTAAGTGTGCAATTTATCATTTTTATTTGTCCTTAGACGTTGTATTTTTCTCTTGCTATATTTAATGAAAATGACACAATCTCGTGCTGATTTCCCTTAAAAAATATAAGTGTGTTATTCAAACAAACAAATCATTAGGCTATTGTCAGAGCGAGCTTTTTTTTCGATTAGATGGTGTCATATAACACTTTTGATGATGCGATAAGAAAATTAATGATGAGAGATGAAACCATATCTATATTGTTTCCAATATAACTAATCTATTACATGTATTGCCTGTGAAACAATAAATTGTATTTGCTCTCTCTGTTCCATATTGATCACCACATAAGTAAAAATTAGAAATTTCAAACTGATTATATAACTCTGACTTCTTCCTTTGACATATAACATTGCTTTTATGTATGTTTGCAGACATTTGGGATAATTAAGCATTTATTCTTGTGCGTATTTGGGACTTAAAGTTTGTATATCTTGTTTAAAAAAACTTATATGATGATTAATATAGAATGGGGGAGAGTATGAGCTATTTCAATTATCAATTATATATATTTTTACATAACACCCTTAAAAACATAAAAATGACACCTTCACAAGTAGTTGCATTACAATAAGGAATGGAGCAATACAATGTTATATTGAGATATTGAAATTCTAATCAAGTGCAATAAACTGTTAATATCTACCCCTCTGTCTCAAAATAATCATCGTTCTATATAGTTTAACATAGATTTAGGTTAAAAAACCTATATTATACCCTTTTTTAATTGATGTATGTTTGGTGAGTCGGAGAGTGGTTGGGGGTACAGTAGGAAGAAATTTGACATGAGATGATTGATGGGATAAGCATTATTTTGAAGCGATAACCATTTTGGCAGAAATTTTGAATGCTAGAAAACAACTATTTTTTAATGGAGAGAGTACAATTAAACATAGTTTAGAAATCAAGTTATATTTAATTTACATTGCACATACTGGTAAAAATATTGTCATCTATCACTATCCAAAAAATATTTTTTTATGTTTAGTATGGATACTAGTTATACCTCTACAGTTTTAAATAAAAATTTTGAAATTCAAAATTTCACATTTTGGTCTATCATTGACATGTAGGCCCCTCATTGTCTTTGATGCATTTCGACTATTTTATGATAGCTGCTTGCATGTAGAGTTTAGGATACCTTTGAATCACAGCAATGGAATAACGGAAAAAATACAAAAACAAAAATACAGGATTCTAATAGGAATGTAAGTGCAAAACAGAGAATTGCAAAACGCAGAAAAAACACAGGAATGACCGTTTGATTGTACCGCAGGAAAAACACAGGAATTAGATGATAGACTCGAAGAAAAATTTCAAGAGGTTGGAGCTTTTACTAAATTTACTCCAAAATCCTTATAGAGTTGTCCATTCCATAAAATTTTCAAAGGATAGGATATAATTCAATCCTTTGTTTCAAAGGACTCCATAGAAAATTTTTCTATACGATTTAAATCCTCGAAAATTTTTATGTTTTCTCTCCAGATCAAAGGAGCCCTTAGGGTTAGTAATTATATCCACAAATAAACTACTCCATCCATCCAAAATATACATCGCAACCACTTTTCTTAATATCTTATAATACAATACGTGCATACATGCATACTTTTCTTGGTCTTTGGGTTAGCTAGGACATCCACAGCAGTGAATGAGCAATAAGGGTGTGTTTGGTTGGGTGGATGAGCCTAGATGGGAGATGGCCGCCCGATTTTTTGTGGTGTTTAGTTGGAGGGTAGGGTGGATGGGGCGACCCGAAATAGGGAATATTCCCTCAATATACTGGATAAGTATATCCGGGCGATTTGGCTAGATGAAGCCATCCAATTTTGGTCTATGTGGTTGTAGCCATTGTGAGAGCATCTAATAACAACTACTTGGAATACTGTCAGGTTTTCAGGAACGATATTTTTCAGGTTTTCAGGAACGATATTTTTGTCCCCATCTTAATACCTCTCTTATATCCTTACATATTGTGGTGCATGATTTAACTACTACCAAATGATAAATAGTCCCATACTAATACCTACTTCGGTATTATACATTGTTGTTGCTCTTGGTAGTTGTCGTATCCTATATTTTAAGGTTAAGGGGGTATTTTGTATTTTTTTGAAGAGAACATGAAGATTAATTGCAGAGATTTATATGTTGTTATTATAATAATATAGAGCATCAGTAATCAAGCGTTGATGATTTACTAAGGCTCGATTACACCTCTATAAAGGCAGAGGATGGAGCACCCAAAAGAGCTCCAGAAAAAAATAAGGCAAATTTTACCACAGAACACGCAAAAAATATGTAATTGGTTAGGAGGCACCGCGAAAACGTAACACAGCTAATGGACACTATAAAAAATATGTACCATAGGACACCGGTCATATTATTTTATTATTTCTGGGTCAAAAGACGTGAGACATTTTTCTAAATGCCCGGATTGCCCTTTTATCTTTCCTTCTTTCTCCCTTCCCATTGACTTCGCTGAGAATGGCTCAGCGGCCTCAGAGGTGCAGTGGGGCGAGGTCGGCGCGACGTGGTGCAGTGACACTGGCGGCCAGGGCGGTCGACGGCATGGCGTGACCACAGAGGTGCGGGTCTGGCCAGTTCGATGGCGGGCGGCTGACAGCAGTGCCGATGTGTCGGGGCGCAGCCGAGCGGAGGAGGAGCTCAACTGGGCAGCAGCACCAACATAGGGGAGAGGCACCGGCGTGCGGTGGCCAGGCAGCGGTGCCAGTCGGGCTATCCTCTCGCGTGCGCCAGCTGGAGAGGTGGTTGGATCGGAGGAAGAGCACCGGTGGCCGCGTGCGCCGACGAGCCCCCCGTCTCCAACTCCCTCGTGGCCGCCCTCGATGACTCCGTCGTCAGCCACGTCTTGGCCGAGTCCGGATTCTGCAGGCGGGACATCAAGCTCACCATCCTCCGCCCGGCTCCGCCCGGCTCCGCCCATTCCGCTCCTCGGCCGCCTCCCCACACACACCCGCCCGCTGCCTCTCTTCCTCGGTAGCTTCGCCGCCGCGGACGACGCCGACGTCCCTTTCGTCAGCTGGGAATCTCGCCGGCGCCGGGGAAGAGAACTGCGAAGCCATCGACACTCGGGGGTGTTGGGGGGGGGGGGGCAATCCGGGCATTTTAGAAAAATCTCACCACTTTCATCCTGAAATTGATAAAATAATGCTTCCAGTGTACTAAGGTCAATTACACAACTTTTACAGTGTCCATAGACGGTGTCACGTTTTTACGGTGTCCCTCAGCCAATTATCAGTATTTTGCACGTACTGTAGCATATTTTGCCAAAAAAATAACTACCGCTGGACAGCGCTGGTCGTGATATCAAGAGAAAGCAAACGTGACCAAGGACAAGTCCAGTTTCAATTTCCTTTTTTTTAAAAAAAAATAGTACGTCCAGCCTAGATGCATATCTGGCCCTGATTATATATTATGCGGATAAGCCCAAACATTCTGCCAATATGCATATACTAGTTGTGTCGTGTCGCGTGTCAGTATAAAAGTGGCTGGGTGGCCGCATGCATGGAATGAGGATCCCCTGACTTTGTGCATTTTACAGTTGTGCCACTAACATGTGGGCCATACTAAAGTGGGGCTCACATATCAGTGGCATAGCTGCAAACTGCACAAAGTCAGGGATCTGTTTCCGCATGCATGGCGCCTGCAGCGCGCCACAGATCGAGCACTGAGACACACAGTTCAGCTGCAGTAGGTGCGCCCGGGAGCGAGTCCGCCCGCCCGATATATATAGTGCTGCTCACATCACGTAATTCCTCCTCCCGTAGCACCGTGGTTTGTGCGAGGATCCGACCGGCGGTGGCAGGCATGGCCAGCACGTCGCAGCCGTCCAGTAGCGAGAACCCCACCTCGGCGACGGCGAAGGAGGTTGAGATGACAGGGGATCAGGCGCGAGCCTGTATTGCAGGTACGTATAACGCACATACTCGTTTCTAGTACTACTACGTACAGTAGTGAACGAATTTCGTCGTGATCAACCGATGTGAAGCTCTCTCATTCTCCCTTAGCTTGGAGCCTACTATACTTCCTACGAGCACTATATATTTTTTTTTGTAAACGATGCACTGGTGCACTAACTAGATGCATCCATATATGCTAATCCCGGCCCCTCTTTAAATATAAGAACTTAGGGTTAATTGGATCCATGCCACTGTAAATGTGGCAAATCAAAAAAAATGCCACACATATTCGTGTTATCGGCTGGATGCCACTGTAAATTTTTAAAATAAGAACCATGCCACTCCATCACGATTTCCGTCCTCCTCTCTCTCTCGCCGTCATCCTCCTCTCTCTCTCTCTCACGTCTGCTGCCGCCGGACACGTGTGAGCAGCTCGACCACCGGAGTCGAAGCCGATGAGGCGCACGCAACAAAACGCGTCGGCTTCACGCGGCAAAACGGAGAAGAGGATGGGGAGCTGGCGCGACGGCTGGCACGGGCGGAGGACAGCCCGGCGCGGTTGCGGCCGGGCCTGACGGGGTTCGGCGCGGAACGGAGCTCGGGCAGAAACACCCAACGAGCTCAGGGAGTAGCTAGCTAGCTGCTACAGATGCAGCGCGCGCGAGGCTAGCTAGCTAGCTAACTAAACCAATCAACATACAACCATCGATCTTTGCCGCCGCCGACGAGCACGGTCGCGGAGGGGCATGGCCGCCGCCGAGGAAGGTCACGGAGGCGGGCGCGGGCGTAGCCACCGCCGGCGAGGACGCTCGCAGGGAGGTCGGGGAGGGGGCATAGCTGCTGCCGAGGACGGCCGTGGAGGCGGACGCGAGCATAGCCGCTACCGGCGAGGACGGTCGCGAGCGAGGCCGCCGCCGCCGACGAGGACGCTTCGCGGGGAGGTCGCGGAGGGGGCGCAGCTGCTGCCGAGGATGGTCGTGTGGAGAGAGGAGATGGGCGTCGGCAGCATTAGTGACAAAGCTTGGGGCCAACGGCGGCGGAGTTCGAGGCTCGACGCCTCCTCCATCGGCAGCAACAACGAGCGGCCCTCCTCGGCAGATCCGGGCGGAGGCGGTGCGGCTCGTCGACGACCACGACGAGGACAGCAACGGCAGCGGCGGCTCCCGAGCTCTCCCGCGCAGATGAGGTCGACGGCGGCGGGTCCACCGCGGAGATGGTCAACGACGACGGCTGCAACGGTGGAGAGAGAGGAAGTCGGCGAGGAGGTCGCGGAGGGGCGCGGGGAGCGGACGCGGGCACGACCGTCGCCGGTGCCGTGCTGCCATCCACCACCGTGCTGCCGTGCCGCCGTGCGCCGTGCTGCCATCCGCGCCCGCCTTCGTACTGCCGTGCTGGTGCTGCCGTCGAGACGAGGACGACGAGAGGACGAAGACGGAGACGGCGGAAAATGTGACGGATTGGACGGAAATCGTGATGGAGTGGCATGGTTCTTATTTTAAAAATTTGCAGTGGCATGGATCCAATTAACCTAAGAACTTAAGTGTCGGATAGGATATTTTCTAGTATTACGAATATGAATCAATATTTCACACGAACTTCGGGATCGACGCATTTTCACTGCACACACCTATTATCGTCCTCCCTCCTTGTCCTGGATGACTACTACTACAAGGTCAAGGAGCAAGTACAATAGTGCTATAAGCTATAAGCCATTCAAAAATTAGTCTTCTAAGTGCTAAGTATGGAACTAATGTACAAGTAAGAGAAGATTAAAGTTAGTTATTTTAAAAAATAACCTCATAACTAATCTATTATACGATAACTAACCATAGTGCTATCTTTAGATGACGTGCATAGAACTTCTAGCCTACCGGCTGGTGGTAAGATGGACAACCCTCCGCCGCTGCCGAACAATGAGAACCCTGAGTTGAACAATGAGATTGCAGAGGAGGGGCAACCACCGCAGCCAGCCCCTGCGCCAGGTATTTCTTTTAATCTCTCCCCTGGGAACGAATGTCATGTAGGTATTCACATTCACTTTCTCGTTTGTACTACTTCTTTAATTTTTCATATATATAATGCTATAATTAACATGTGTCACCATGTTTTGATCATTCGGTTTATTAAAAACTTTTAAAAAACTAAAAAGAAATAAGTAATACTTAAAATTTCTTTGGGATAAATTAAACCACAACAAAAAATATCTATTACATACTAGAAGTCAATTTTAACATCATATAAACGCTTACAAACTGCTACATGACCTCCTATATATAAACGCTCGTAGACTACCATATTGCACTCTAATGAATTATAAAACATATCAAGTTTTTCTTAAAAAAATAACTATTGATATCCATTTAAATGATGGACTTGTTATTTTAGTACATTATATCTCATACTAGTCACCAACTAGATCTATTAAAAATCAAACTCTTCTCTCCCGTTCAAAGTGTCGACATACTACTTAGGAACACGTACGTTTACTTCTCCCTCTCTTGAACCTCTGCATTTCATGCCTCTTCCCTATTTCTCGTATATTAGTTAAGATTTTTCTTTAATTTCTTCGCTTCTACTAGTATCTCACATGAGGCTAAACGGCCGGGCGCAGCTCGGTGGCTGTGGACTTAATTTGTCTGCATTTCCCAAACATTATATAGGGCTGATTAATGTTTTGTTGTTTTATAAATTAAATGATCTATTTTAACTAACAATTTAATAGAAAAACAATCTATAGTTAAATAGCTAAATGATCATAATTACAATTCTAAAGTTATATCTAATTCTTAATTTTGTTTGAACTGGTGTTTTATAATTAGATAGCTAAATAAAGACCTATATTACCCATATTTTACTATAAAAAATACGTCATTTGAATAGACATTTCTCCTTTACATGGCAACCAAATAACATCTAATTTTCAATTTGTTGGGACTGTTTATTTATTTGGTTTTATTTATAACTAATAAGTAAATTAGGTTCAGTGTTACCCATTTCGCTATATAAAATTTGAAATACATAATTTAAACATAGACCAATAACAAACCAACAATGAAACATTACAAAATTTGGCAATATTTATTATGTCATCCTAAATTATTCTACATAACAGAAATTAGAAAAATCACAGCCACCATATGTCACAACTTAGAGCGCTATTAAGTCCCCACGTGTCATGTTTTAAAAATTAGAAAAGAAACTTCAAAATTAAATGGAAAAAAACATCTTTCCACTTAAATCGATGACCTATTATATTCAGCCATTAAATCTTCTTTTAGAAAAATCATAACATGCGACATGTCACACCTTAAAAATTACTAGAAAGAAATCATAGAAATATGTGAATAAAAAAAATCATTTGATCATTAAATTTCACCTAATCATTTAGAAAAATTGGAGAAAAAGAGTCCCCTCCATCTCCCCCCCACATGCGCAAAAGCACTACCCACCCTTCCCCTATGTGGTTTGAGCTCTGTGCTCTTCATTCCTCTCCCCTCCCTATCTTTTAGTCGCTATCAAACTGAAAAAAGCTATAAATAGTTATAAGCTATACGCCCGATTTCTAATATAGCTGTTGCAATCAAACCAACAATGTAAGATCCATACGCCTATATTTCACTATGTAAGAAATATAACATTTGGGAATGGTCGGCACATGCATTTCGCATGCAAACCAAATAGCAATAAAATATTATAAAAAAGTATCAATGAACATTATGTTTATTATAATCCAGCTTATAGTAATCTGACTCAATAATCTAAATTACAATAATCTTAACCTGAAACAAATATGGCCTTAGTTTAGAACATGTGTTTGGCTATTTTTTTCATAGGATGGTCCCGTATGAGAGATGGAATGGTTTCATTTTTTAGAAAGGGGAAAGTGTGGCCCATATATAATGAGAGAGGAAGTGAGTTGAAATGTTCCGTACAAGTTTTTAGGTATGAAATTAAACCTGATTGGGAAAGGTGATATGGGATAATATTTCTTTTCATGAATTATCTCATATCACCTTTCCCAATCCGAACGTAGTAAAAAATGAGTTCACCCTAACTTTATCCATCGCGTCTCTCCAGCCAAACATACACGGAGGATCAGTTAAACACATACGGAGGGATCAGTTCTAACTTCTAATCTATAACATTTCATTTTTCAAAAACGATTCATGCTCAGGGTTTATAGAATATAGTAAGATTTATGCTACTACAAATGGTTGACTTGTAGACTGTCAGAGATCTCCCGGGAGTGGCCATTTATATTAGCGTGAGTTCGTAACAAAAGAATCATGACCATAATGTTTATCAGTTAATTTGCAGAACATTCTACGTTTTACAATATTGTTGACATGCGCTAAAAATAAAACTGCAGGACATGTGGCAGTGCCCATCCCTGAACCGCGATGCCTCCTTTACAAGGTCCCCAAGAAAATTTGGAAGATAGACGAAGACATGCACAAGCCGACTTATATCTCTATCGGTCCTTATCGCTACGGTGAAAACGGGTTGGACAACAGATCGCAGGTATGGAAGGAATGGTGCGAAAATGAAGTGGTGAAGAAGCTCACACAGCAAGGTAGGGGTACGGCGCTACAACAGATCAACGATGTGGTAACTGATCAAGTGAAGAATTACTATGACAAAAGATCGTTCTCGTTAGGCGTGGACGACGAAGCTTTCAAAAAGATGATGATAACCGACGGATGCTTCCTACTACTGACGACCTTACATGATACCAGCAGTCAGTCGGAGCCTGAGCCACAGCGTCCTGCAGCATCTAATACTTGGCGAAGCTTTTGCTGTCTTTTCGAAAGTAATCCTGCAGAAGTTGAACAAACTGCAGCAGTTCCACCAACTGTTATTGATCCGAACAGTATTCCAAACCTGTGGGATAACTGCTTCCTGTGGAATGACATCTTGCTCTATGGGAACCAGCTCCCCTTCCTTGTTGTGCGAGAAATCTACAGTCTTCTTCACCCCGGCGAAGACCCCAATCAGAAAGTCGGCAAGGTCTTCGCCGATTCAATGCTGGCACGCTACACGAGGAGGAAGTTGACCCATCCGGGCAACGCCGACAGCGTCCTCCACCTGTGCCACAAACTGCTGGCGCCAACGCCGGACCCGAGCCGGAATGGAGGCGGCGACGGCGTCGTCAAGACGGGACAGTGGCGGCGGGCGACAGAATACAGGAATCTGCGGGTGAAATTCAAGAAGAGAGAGATCAGCAGCGATGGCAAGGCGCAGTGCATCTTGGACGTCAAGGTCGTCTGCTGCAATGTGGTAAAGATACCTTCGTTTGACCTGAACCCGGAGAGCTGGAGGCTGCTGCGAAACCTGATGCTGCTGGAGAATATGAACAAACACCTCGGCGGCCATGTCACCTCTTACTGCAACTTCATATCGCAGCTGGCGTGTACCGGCGCGGACGTCAGCCTCCTCAGGGAAAAGGGTATCATCGTGCACGGTGAGGCTAGCGACGAGAGGGCGGCCCAGAAGCTATGCAATCTCTGTGTTGAAACCATTTATGATCCCACACATGACTACCTCAAGTCAGCTTGGGACAAGCTGGAGAAGCACTGCCGGCACCCGGGGTGGCTTGTGTGGGCGAAAATGTTCGGCTACAAGGATTGGAAGAATCCGCTGGTTTGGATGGCTACCCTTGCCGCCCTCGCCCTACTTGTGTGTGCCATATTACAGACGATGTACACCATCAAGACATACCAGGATCAGGCGAAACACCGCGCGCGGACGTAGCTAATCAGGAGTATTTAGCAAACCTCACACCCTACGTAGTAGCTTTCCTTCCTGCCATGTGTTAGCTGGGATTTGGTTCTTACTGTACTTGTTAGCTTTCTGTTAGCCTGTTAGCTATTTTCCCTCCCTGTTTTTTTGCTATTTGAAAACTCTGTTTTGAGTCAGCGTGGCTGCGATTTGATCAGTCACGAAGTAGTGGAGCTTGACGTGCGCTAAGTTCGCACGCAGCGCGTCGCGTGGCATGGTCTCAGCGTCTGGGATGGCATTCGCTACATGGGTTTGTGACCAAGTTTAGGCCTTGTTCGGTTTAAAGGGGATTAAAGAGAATTGGAGGGGATTAAGGGGAAATAATTCACACCACAATAGGTGTGGAATAAATCCATTACAATCCTTCCCTCATAAGCATTAACCGAACAAGGTTTTACCGGGATGTTGTGCACGCCGTGCACGGTCCTGTATTGAGAACGACAATAATAGGAGATGAATGAAAACAGAAAAGCTGCATTGTTTGCACGCAACACCAAAAACCCCGTGTTCAAGTTCATCGTGTTTTTTTTCTCTCTTGCGTTTCTGCTCGAGTGATCTCAGGTTGCAGCTGACAAGTGGTATCAGACCTCAGACGACGCTCCAGGCTCGATGTCGCACTCGGTTGCCAGCGAGGATCGAGGACGTCGTCTGTTCGTCTGTCTGCCGCGAACCTGTCATCCAGCGCGTGATCGAGAGAAGCTCCGAGTCGATTGCCTACTGCTCGCTCACGCGCACGAACTACACTGAGAGGTCTATGGCGATGCAGGTGAACCTCCAGGAACATGGCTTGTGGGCAGGGTTGGAAATTTCGGACTGAAGTTTCTGAAAATCATTTCGGACCCCTATGATACGATATTATTTCGGCCGAAATTTTTAGTTTTTTAATTTTTCGTGAATTTTGGTAATATTTGTTCAAATTCAACTAAAATTTGTTCAAAATTTCGGTCTATCGGTGACCTCCGATACAATCGGTTAAACTGATAAGTTAAACTCTACTTGTGGGAGGCCGTCGACCCCGGAACCGATGATTTATGCTCCAACTGCACGGTTCTCACCACCATTCTATGCGTCGTCCCGCAAGACGTGCTAACGTCGCTTGCACAGAAGGAGACGACGCATGAGGTCTGGGAAGCGATCCGCGCAGTTTGTGTCGGCGTCGAGCAGGTGGAGGCGAATGTGCAAAAATTGCGCCAGGATTTCGCTGCCATCGCGTTCAAGCCAGAGAGCACATCGAGGACTTCTCGCTCCGCATCACCGGACAAGGAGGTCATCAAGAAGATGTTAGAGGTGGTCCCGGAGTACCACAAGCAGGTGGCCATCTCCATCGAGACCATCCTCGACCTAGGCACGGTGTCCATCGAGGAACTGACCAGAAAGCTTCGGGGGGTGGAGGAGTGGAAGAAGCCTGCAAGCAGTGAGGCCACGGACAGCAGCGGCCGACTACTCCTCTCGGCGGAAGATTGGCTCATCCATCAGAAGGCCCGCGAACAGGAGAAAAAAAAGGCAGCTGCTAGGGCGACAATGATGCCGGTGATCGCAATCGCTGTTGCAGAAAAAGGAAAGGTCGCGGGGGAGGCGAAGCCATTGCGCATGATTCCCGGTCCGATGCCTCGGGCTGGGAAATACGTGACGCAACAGTGGGAAAGCCAGACACTAGGCCCGTGACTGCAGATCAAAACCCAAGAAAGGAGGGGAGGCCCATTTGGCCCAAGATGAAGATGCCTCTCTTCCATTCGCTATCGCGACCATAGACATAGTGGAGTCAACGGCGGCGGCTCCCGGATCCCCTTCTCCACCACCAACACCCACCCACATCACCGCCCATCACGCCAACTCTGCCGCTTCTTGCCCTAGTCGTTCCTCAACCCCTGACCTAGGTGCTGACCTCGATACACGAGCAGGTGCACCTAATCGAGGAGAAGGTGCTTGCCCAGATCGGGGATGTGGCACAGAAGGAAGACAACCATTGGGTGGTCGACACTAATGACACCAACCATATGTCCGAGACCAGAGCCGCCTTCACCACCCTCGACGCCGGTGTCGGCAGCTCCATCAAATTTGGAGACGGGTCCATGGTGCAGATCGAGCGGCGCGGTACCGTCATCTTCAAGTGTTAGAATTGCAAACGCCAATCCTTCGCGACGTCTATTACATTCCCAAGCTCCGAACCAACATCATCAGTGTTTGAAAAATCGATGAGGTCGGCTTCGAGGCCCTCATCCGCAGCGGCATGATGCAGGTTCAGCAGCCGGAATGCCACTCGACGCGAGGGGTGGAAGATGCTTGGATGTGGCACTCACCTGGGCCATCTCAACTTTCAGGCGCTACTGAAGCTGCTCGAGACGGCCTAGTACGAGGCCTGTTGGACTTGGAGCAGCCATGCGGCCTCCTCGAGGGGTGCTTGGTGGGGAAACAACGAAGCATCCCGTTCCTGGAGCTCTCCGGAGCAGGTCAAGCAAACACTGGAGCTCCTCCACGGGCCACGGTAACCTCTGCGGCCCCATCTCGCTAGTGACTCCCGACGGTAAGAAGTGTTTTCTACAGCTTCATGTGGATGGAATTACTCCTATCCAAGGACTGTGCACCAGCTGTGATCAAGCGGATACTAGCTAGCTGTGGCCGAGGCTTAATCCGGGCACAAGATGAGCTCCCTCTGCACTGATCGGGGGAGGGGGTGGAGGGGAGGGAGTTCACCTCCGCTGATTTCACCAAGCACTACATCACCACCGGAGTCCACCGCCAGCTCACCACCTCCTATTCACCGCAGATAAATGGGGTGATCGAGCGGCGGAACCAAACCCTCGTGGCCGCTGCTCAAAGCATGCTGAAGGTGAAGGGCCTCCGGCAACTTATAGGGACAAGTGGTGACAACCGTTGTTTATCCCCTTAATCAGTCGCTCATAAAGAGTAGAGGGAATGACCTCATTCCAAGCCTGAGGGCAGTCCCAACCCTCTACCTAGGATGGTGTCTATGGCTTAACTACATTGCCATGTAGGACTTTTAGCTTATGTGATACTATATTAATTAAGAGAGAGAGTGAAGAGAGGAAGAAACTAGGTCTGATGCAAGACATAGCTTCAACACGAGAACCTATGCACTAGACACTATCAAGTTTTGCATTGGGAGAGAATAGTGTCTTCATAATAGATGAAGAATAAATCTGATTGGTAGAGAAGAGAGATGATGTATTTATTAATGGCCCACTTTAAGAAACCATGGGTTGTAGAGTGTAGTTTCTATTGTGATGTCTTATTGACATGGCACCATAGATACTACTTATGGACACCATGGATTGGGACTGCCCTGATACTGGAAGAAGCCTGCTGTCCATCACCTCCAGCACATTCGGCTACATCACCTACGTCAAGAAGAAGGTGCCTCACGTCAAGAAACTTGATGATAGGAGCATGAAGCTGATCTTCATTGGGCATGAGCCAGGCTCTAAGGGCTACAGTGCCTACAACCTAGCCATGGGACGCATCCACATCACGTGGGATGTGGTGTTTGATGAGTTTTCCTAGTAGGACTAGGGCAGAGCAAGAGAGGACATTGACGTCGACGATCAGTACCTGTTTGATGTAGAATTCATGACAATGTGTTGATGCGAAAAACACACACTGGCCTGGAAGATCTGCTTAGCTTCAGTGCAGGTCGAAAATCTTGCCTTTAGGTTCGTGAGCGTGCCAGTTGATTTGATCCTGCAATCAACAAGAAAGAAAGACAAAGAAACCGTGGTTTAATCCATAAACGATAGCCAATCGGCTCGTTGCCGTTGACATATCATTTATCTTCGAGCCGATGTCATATTGGAATCGACCGGCAATCATGAATAAATAAGATAAAACTAAATCTATTCGATCGGCTGTAGATGTTAGCAATATATAATCACCATGTCAATGTATATTTAAACTAAGTGATTGGGATAGATCGGTCGCCATGCCGAGACAGTATAAATCACTTAAGTCGAGATATGCGCTAACACAACAATTATATAGATGTTCACAGCATAGCCGATCAGATAGATCTAGCACGTATCAGCTAATATTCCGATACCACTCTATATTAAGATATTAAAATAAACAGAACACATCAAACAGAAAGTCTAACATATTCTAATATAGTAAGATCTTAACACAAAGGGCAAATTTAGCATAACAACTAAGCATATGAGACGTAAAATAGGTAAATCAGGTAAGGTCGGCTGAAACCCCGACACTATCTCTTTCAGTAACCATAAAACAAGCTAGATATTACGATTATAGGTATTACTTAATAGATCGAACTCAACCAATGCAGCATTAAGCATAAAGATAAGCATAAGATCTAAGCAAGATGATGAAAACATCTAAAAGATGGTAGATATGTTAAATAATCTAAATTAGCAGCAAGATCTAACCCTATCGACAATTTTCTTAACAGTAAGAGCCAGCCGATTGCAGATTAGATAAAACAATTAACAGAGATTATAGAACATATATGATAACTCGACGAATTACATAAACAGGATTAGAGTGTCATAAAGATGGAAGCACTAATCCCGAGAACGCAAGCCGCCATGACAAGTTTACCTCTAGTTGAAGATCGAAACCGATGCAGCTCAACTTGAAAGCAAGAACTCGTCGAAATAGAACGAAAGTAAAAAGGGTGGCGATGCGCCGAGATTGTATTGAACTGATGTTAACTAATTACATGGTCTTCGGGCTATATTTATACCCGAGATACATAATATGTCCTTGCCGGACATGACTCTTATCTCTAACAAACTCTAAGATACCATAAGTCTTTGCGGCTGACTTTTGCCTAAACATATCTCTAAGGAAATTATACAAAATACCCTAATTAATAGATACAGTTTCCTTTCTGAGATCTTTATCTCTATCGCGGCAATCCTTATGAAGTACATTGACTGATTCTACAAACAGCCTTGAAGCCATTACCATCGGAATCGGCTACACCATCTCCATCGGCTGCATCAACCATCTCCTATCCGATTCATCTCAACCGATGTATACTCCAGCCGATGCCCTCGCAACCGATGCATACTCTGTTCTTCGAATCCATCTCTTTGCCGAATCCGCTTCGATTCCAATGTCGAACCTGGTTCGTATCTTACCAAATTTGGTCATCAACACAATGCCTCTAGCAGGCGACCATGAACTGGTGCAAGATGAAGGCCCACGAGGATCGCCCCCTACTGTGCCAACTATGGAGTTCGCATCACCACCAAGCATGAACCCTGACCTCGACAATGTTCGCGACGATGCCCTTGTTCATTTCCGCAAGATGGAAAATGTTCTTGGTGATGCGTTGGTACCTAGGTTAGCACAATGAGAGCTCGTCTCTCACGAGGATCAGCCCCTACTGCTCCAATTATGGAGTTCGCATCACCACCAAGCATGAACCCTGACCTCGACAATTATCGCGATGATGCCCTTGTTCATTTCCGCGAAATGGAAAACGTTCTTGGTGATGCGTTGGTACCTAGGTTAGCACAACAAGAGCTCGGGGACGAGCTGCACACTGGTAGCGTTAAAGAACTCGCTACATTCGTAGTAGCTGAGCGGGAGCCATGTTGGCGTGCTTTCATGATGGTGGAACTGTGATCGATCGAGGACAACTCGATGTGAGAGGCTGTTGATCTCCCCACAGGCCACTGCCGCCATCAGGCTCTAGTGGAGCACAAGGCCCGCCTCGTCTCCAAGGGCTACGTCAGTAGCAAGGAGTAGACTTCGATGAGGTCTTTGCTTTGGTGGCATGGCTAGACTCGGTCAGAATGATCCTTGTTGTGGCAGCGCACGAGGGCTGGCATGTCCATCACATGGATGTCAAGTCAGCATTCCTGAATGGAGAGCTGCTGGAAGAGGTACATCCAACAACTTCCCGGTTTCATCTTAGGCAAGGCTGGCCAAGTCTTGAAGTTGAGCAAGGCACTTTGCAGATTCCACCAAGCATTGCAGGCGCGATATGCCAAACTAGACGCCTGCCTCAGCTCTCTCGGCTTCACCAGGAGTGACCACGGGCATGTTGTGTACACATGGAGGTCCTCAAGTAAGCCGCTAGTGGTGGGACTCTACATTGATGAATTCTAGATGTCAAAGGGGACAATGACAAGACTTCACATTAATTTTCCCTAGATTATGACAGCATTGTATCCTTGAATTATAAAAGGAGAAGTCATGCCAAATAGAAAGGGGTTGGACAAGAGAAATAGAGGAAAACCCTAAGTATACTTGTAAGTTTGAGATCCCGATAGTCAAGAATACAAGAGTAGAGTATTACGCTCCCAGCAGCCTGACCCTGTATACGCCCTTGCTTTTCTTTGTTTGAGCGTTCCTTGTAACCAAACTCGATCTCTACTCACCCCTGGCTGGATCTCTAGAGGGGTTCTCTCTTCCCAGTTGCAGGAGTTGTGATATCCAACATGTGTACTGTTAGGACTAGGGTTGGGACCTTCTATGAAACATTTGCTAGTTCCAGAAGCACAGACAGGATACGAATGATAATATCATAGCCAAATTTCAATTATATAAATAAGTAGCAAACAAATAGAAACAAAGTTGGGATCTGATTACTAGGTTTATTATTATTGGGCATACACAGCTAGCCAAACAACATAGGCAATAGAAATAATATTGTGGGGCTTCATCAACTTGCCACATGCGGTCAACTGGGGCATCTAATGCGTACTCAACTCGATCCTCCATCCGGATATTCCTTTCGAACTTCTGCTAGTGAAGCAATGACAGAAATGAGTACACAAAATAATTAGCAAAACAATTAACAAAATAATTGGTCATTTTCAACCCTACCAAAATTTGAATTTTGGCGTTACAAAATTTTGGCATGTTGAATGCGTTTAGTTTAAAGCCTTACAAAAATTTGGTAGAATTTTTTAGAATTACCAAAGTTTGGTAAGATGTCATTGGCAAGTATATGTTTAGCTTGTTGCAAGGTTGATAGTGGTGACAAAGTGAACAGCTCTATAGTATGCAAGGCTAATAAAGGAGTGATATAGGGGTTGTTTTGCGCCAAAACACTTATAGTAGAAATACAGTAAATAGATTAAAATGAAATTTAGACAACATTAATTTGTAATCAGGAGAGTTTAACGTCACATAGGATCAGAACTGTTCTTTTGTCATAGGACCACAAAACTATATTGATTATTTTATCCTGCCTACAGTACTCTCTCAGAAAAGGAAAACTTTTACGAATCTACCCTGATCATGTGAAATCACCGAATATATCTATAACGGTGACACTGCTATGTATTCAAATAGATTTAAGCTCTATAAAGGTCCACACAAATCCATCATTGCTCTAGTCTAAAATATTTTTCCACCCGTTGATAATTATATGATGCAACATATGCCACCAAAGAAATAGCACACATCAATATCGTTTGTATGAAAACTGTGATGAGTATATTATAGAGAGGCTAATTAATATTTCACTTGTAAAAAAGGATTGAGCAGGCTAAGCATATATACAGTTCCCTAAATTAAAAAATACAGCCAATTTAAATACAGAATAATTTAAAAACAAGAATCAGTATGTTACGTTCAAGGCTACACTTGCCTTACTCGATCTCCATGCGTTTTTCAAGAGGAAGTTCTCCTCCAGTAGTGACCTCCTCGGCAGGGATATCTACATGAGTATATAACAAAACAAACTAAATAGGCTAGAAAACCAACTCAAATAAATAAATAAATAACTAAGGAGGTAGAGCTCAATTTGAAAAGAATTAGGAAAAGAACGAGTTGAATCAGAGTTTGAGACCAATATATACAACCTTCTGTAGATTGAATTTAGAGAAAATCCAAAATGAAAGAAGTATGTTTTGTGAATACTTTCTAGAACACCGAAAAATATATTTTCTAGAATACCTAAAGTAAGGGAATGATCAGAGCATGAGCAAGAATGGAGTCATGAGCCCCTGCCACCGAACACCGGGTTCACCGGATCCTGTTGGTCTGAGGCCCGATGACAGTCGACAAGCACTATCTTAATTTTCTTAAGATCAATTGCAACTCCAGAAGCTGAGATGATATGTTGAAGGAATTCCACTTGCTTTATCCAAAACCCACACTTGCTTAATATTGGCATAGAGCTGATGCTCTCTCAAATGACCTTACATTAATCTAAAGTGCTGCTCATGCTCTTATCATTCTTGTAATTTGGGAGAGCATCATATCCATCAAAATGGCAAGTCCATTTGTTAATCCAAATGACATCGTTTTATACACATAGAGCCCCAACGAGTAGAGAAGGTGGTCTTCAGAATGTTCTCTGGCCAGATATAAAGTTGATGATATCCACAGACAAATAATTAATCCGAGGCAAGGCGTACTTAGAGCAGGTACAATAGCAGGCTATAAGCCAGCTGCAAACATATTTTAAGAAGATAAATCAGGAGAGAGAAGAGCAGCGGGCTACAGATTTGTAGCCAGCTGTAGCACGGACTCCAAGACGCAGTGTGTCTATGACAGGTGGGACTAGGTATTAATAGTGTAGGTTATAACTATTGTATGAATGAGCTATTAGATTGGCTATATATAAATTGGAGCCAGTAGTTGACTATACTATTGAACTTGCTCTTATTCTTCATAGCCACGTGGTCGTTCAAAGCTCTATAGTCTACATAGATTCTCTTTTTGTTCCATCTTTCTTTTCCGCAGGTATTGTGCTCCTTATGGTGATGAACTATGGTATAATCAGTTTTCAAAATTTCGGTTCTATCAGACCTCCTCCCCCCTCCCCAATACAAATAATTTAACTCGAAATTTTTGGATTTTCTCAAACTTTTGTGAATTTGACAAAAAAATATTCGAATTTGACCAAATTTTATTGAAAAAATTAAATTATTTCGGATCAAAATAACCGTAGGAAATTTCGGTTGTATTGGTGCATCCCGATAGAACTACCGAAATTGAAAAATTGAAGCCGAGTATAACACTACCTTTCCCTTGCAGTTAATTTGCTTCTTCATTTCAACAGGATCATTAGTCAGGCATACGGTACGTTCTATTGGAAATACGTTAAGCTTAGACAAAATGTACTTTTACACCAATAATTTGTCTCAGTTCAGCAATTTGTTATTGATATTAACTATTTCTATAATATAATAGTAAGTTTACCAATTGCTCTAAAATATGTTATTTGGCTAGGACTTTTTTCAAAATACCCAAAATATTCATAACATAAAGGTTAACGAAAGATTTATCCAATCAGAAGTTTCAGAAATGTATGATTTTTCCATAATGTGGAAGTCTACCAATAAGTTTCAAGATTTTTTATTCCTATTTTAAAAATAAACTTATCTGTTATCTGCTATGTACAATAACTTTTGTGTTGTTGTTTTTAGTGTAAATCATCTTTTATATCCTAAAAAAAATATTTTTATGCCATTATTTTTGCGTAAGCAATTTCTCTCTCAAATTCCACACAAAATATTCTTTTAGAAAGTAAAAATACCCCAAAAATTTGAAATTTCTATAAAAATTTTCTTGTTGTATAAAGACGCTACATAAAAATCATTTTTAAAAACTTTCAAGAGGATAAATTAATTGTTAACCTTGTATCTATTTAAGGGTATTTTGGGCACTTTTAGAAAAACATGTAGAACAATTGATAAACTTGTTGGTGTATCATTTAAAAAATAATATCAATGATAAATTGTTGAACTGGGAAAAAGTTGTATAGAATATGTTTCCTTCATAGTGTCCTGTTCAGGCGTCATTCTGCTAAAAGTCACGAAAGACACCTACTTCCTCCGTTTCACGATGTAAGTCATTCTAGTATTTCCCATATTTATTTTGATGTTAATAAATCTAGATAGATATATATGTCTAGATTCATTAACATCAATATGAATGTGGAAAATGCTAGAATGACTTATATCGTGAAACGGAGGGAGTAGATACTAACTGACGACAAGTCTCGCTTCCAATTAGCTAGCTTCCATGTGATGCAACTGAACACTACTCCCATCTGTGTGTATTGTTGATTTAAACTTCTCTATACACACACTTTCAATTTACTATCCCTAAAAAAAAAAAACTATCCCTTCAAATTTCAGGCTAAGAGTTATGGATCCATGACCGTAATTAAATTCAAAACTGCCCTGTTTTTGTGTGACCAATTAATCCATAGCAAAGACAACATCAAGCTAGGATTTATCTAGCATAACCAGATCAGGTAGAAACTCAACCCCTTCTATCAAAATCTTTACCCCACGACAACCGGTTTGGATGCTCAACTCGAAGCCCGGTGTCTAAACTAACAAGTGGTAAGTGTTTTTTTTTTTTTTTAAAAAAAAGAACGAACAAGAGGTACATCTGAAGTGCCTTATAGGCAGCCGATGCTAAGTAGCAAAACCAGAAAAATGATGCAGAATTAAAAAAAAAAAAGCATGGTATGTCTGAATTATGAAGAAACATACTCATTGTGTCATTGTTGGCTGCCTGAGCATCATTTCCCTGTTGTTGCTGGTTCAACTGCTGTATCATGAGCCTTATGAGCTCCATGAAGGTTGTCATAAACTTCCCAAGGTTGGCTGGCTGTTCTTTTGCCATGTCCTGATCGAACCATGCAAGGTTAGTTAGTTTCTCATCAGAACTAAGGACAAGGATAGGTTTACATATATATCCTAAGAAAAGAAACTTCGAAAATGTAGGAAATACTACTAATGGTATATGGAAAGGAACTATAACAAGACTTCACATATATTTTTTTAAAAAATAAATTGAGTTAAATGTTTTGAAATTTAAGTTGAAAGTTTCAAATTTTGAGTTAAAAGTTTTATTTTAAGTTAAAAGTTTTAATTTTTGAGTTGAAAGTTTTACTCAGTTTTTTAAAATTAAAATTAAACATTTTGTTAAAGAGTTTACTCAAATTTACCAATCAATGACAGTAAATTAATTGGTATAGTCCACATGGCCACCGACACGCACACGTGTACATGTGCACAGCCGAATGCCGATATTGCTGCGCCAAATAGCCTTTTCATAAAAAACAGCTTAAACACACCACACTAACCTTAGCCTCCAACTAATGAGGAGGAAAGAAACTAATCACACCTAAAATAACATATGAACAAACAAACTATCAAGTGGGTGGGGGAGGCTAAGGGGCTGTTTGGTTGAGTGACAACCTTTGCTAAAGTTGTGACAATCAAGTTTGATCAATTAAGTCTAGTGTTTGGTTTATGCCACAAGTGAGTTATGCTACAATTTTTTACAAGCTGGTCCACTTGTCATTAGTGATTCTTTTTTGCTATAACTTGCCACAATTGTAGCCAACAAATTCTTAGCTATACAATGTGTAGCATGCCACACTTTGCCAAATATTTTGTGGTAAACTATAGAAGTCATCCAAACAGCCCCTTAGGGTGGTCAGAATCCTTCTGAAAAAATTATGGTGGTAATTAAGGACTTCAAATTTAAAGCAAATTAAAATTCAGCGATAAGATAAGTCTAAATTAATCATGACATCATTGTTCTTTTTTTTTTTTTGCTTGGATAACAGTTTTGAATTGGTTGCACAAAGACAGAGCAACCTATCCTGGGTGCAAACAAGTGTGTTACCAGAGCCGTGTGCCCGTGTCTACGCTAGGACACAACCTAGTTAATCCATCGATCCAGCCCATAAAACATGAGGCCGAAAACTTATGGGTTAACCCACAAAGGAAAAAGGACACCGAAGATCCCTCAACTTGTCATCAAGTTACAAAATCGTCCCCCAACTACATGTTATAGTTTACAATATCAACTTGTCATAGTTTACCAGATATATAATATCCCTCAACTTATAAAACCATTTTAAGTCGTTCAGTGGTTTTGACCTTGGTTTTATCCGACATGGCGGCTGAGTCAGCGTAGGACCCACATAGGCCCCACATGTCAATATTCCACGTCATCACCCTCTCTCTTTCCCCTCCTTTCCCTTCCTCTCCTCTCTTTATCTCTCACTTTTCCCCTTTGTAGGCCGGTCGGCGGGGCGAGGAGGGATAGGAGAGGTCCGGTGGCTGGCGACAAGCAACGCAGGAGTATGCCACCGCCCGAGTGGGGAGGAGGCTGGCGTTTCTCCTCTACAGGCCGGCCGACGGGTCGGGAGGAGGTCGGCGGGGCGGGGAGGGAGAGGAGAAGGTCTAGTGGCTGGCGACAAGCGACACGGTGGCGGCAGCGACAACGCAGGAGCAGGGCACTGTGCCGGGTGGGGAGAAGGCCGGCGGGACGAGACGGGAGAGGAGGCCGGCGGGGCAGAGGCCACATGCGAGGAGGAGGGCATCGGCGGACGGCGACGGCGGTGGAGCGGGGGCGGCAGGGATAGGGCTAGCAGGGGGCGAGTCATCGTAGTGCGGCGGCGGCGGCGGGGATAGGGCTGGGTGGTGTGCGGAGTTGTCATCGCGGCAGTGCTCCCGGTCCTAGTCCCTCTACTCTACGAATCCCCCGTCGCTACCATGAAGCGCACGGACGGGGTGAGGACAGAGGGAGCATTGGCGGCGGGGACCTCAGTGGGCGGGGCTGGAGGAGACGCCATAGGGGACATACAGCGCCAAGGCGATGGGTAGGGTGGCGGCCGACTCGGGATGGTGGCCGAGGACCTCACCGAGGGAACGGGTAGTGGAGCCATCTTGGGCGCTGGGATGGGGGCCACTCCCCGGGGCATGCGCAGTAGCCATGATGGTCGTGGAAAGGCAGCAGCGGCGCTCATCGGCGGCTACCATGCGCAGGCCGGCTATCTCCCTCCGCTGCCCTCTCTCCCTGCCTAAGAGTGAGGAAGAAGAGAGAATAGGAAGAAGGGGCCTTACCAGTGGGTCCCACCCCTTTTTTATTTTTAAATTATTCTTTCCATATGAAACTGTCACTCAAGCGCCACGTGGGATAAAGACCTAGTAAAATGAGCCACATAGGCGTCATGTCATCGAAAGCCGGGGATAAAATACCACAGAGGGATCTCCTTTCCACTGGTTTTGAAAGTTGGAGGATGCATTGTATCTGATTTTTATGTTGAGGGATGGTTTTATAATTCGGTGACAAGATAAATTAAATGACCTTCGGTGTACATTTTCCACCCACAAAGATTGATGGATCAGAGCATGAGTGGGTCAAACAACCAGCCTACCTTGGCATTCCGCACAAGCTAGTTTTTAGATGTGGTAATCAATGATTTATCACATATATATATATATGTTCATATGTCATAGATATATAAGGGTTCATATGTTGTTGACACAAGGATGACAAATAATTAAACATAAAATTTAAGAGTGACAAGTAGTTAAATGTGGGAATGAAAACGTTGGTATTCGTGTTTGGGAGAAAATATTTGTATTCGTATCCATATCCAATCTATCCGAGAATTATCCCCTTTGAAAGATAAATGTATTCGTTTTTCTCTGTAGCGGATGGAAACTATCTGCTCCATTTTCATGCCTAGTTAAATTCCCCTTTTCGGAATATTTCTCCCAGCGCAGTTGCGCCGCCTTTGCTGGCTTCTCTTCCGTCTCTTCTCCTAAAGCATTTTTCGACTTGCGACGCCTTGTGATAATGTTATGCCCTACGTAATTTACTATCCTATCTTGTCGAACGTTTTTGAGTGATGGGTGCGTAAAACATTGACACTTTCATATGATGGTGAAGCTATACACACACTTCTGCCACACCCTTAATTAATTAGTTAAATAGGGGAGGAAAAACAGCCATCGACATTAATGTGGCTTCGTGAGAAAATGATATCCGGACATTACTGTGGTTTTGTGAAAAAAATGATAGCTGGGAAAAAAAATGAAATTAAGTATTCCTATGTAGCAACGGGACCAAAGGGGAAAAAAGTCAAAACAGTGGCATAAATAAAATTAGGTTAAAATACTGAAATTAAATTTACACGTCTGAGGAAGATTTCCCATTTCTGTTCGAGTTGTGAATCTCATACTACAATTAATTCCTATGACATCCATTTCAAATTCAATAGAATTCATGTTGTAAACTTGAAGTATTTATAAATGATACCGGCACGAGAATGTGCTTATTCATTAAAAAATAGCAGGAGAAAAATATAGCCCCTAAGAGAAAAACATATATAGAACATATACCTTGAACTCTTTCTTCAACTCATTAACTTCCCCCTGCAACATCTTAATTTCCCTGGGGCAAAATTCACCTGTCACATCACTACATCAGTCGAGTATATTATTTTAGTAAACAAAATTCCATACATATACACTGAAAATAGTGAATCCCTTTAATTTTACCCCCTCCAATATAATTTTACTTAATCGCTTCCCTTCTATTACATTTTTCTTTTTACTGGAACATGTAGCGCGCCTCCATTCTCTCTTGCTCCAACCCTATATCTATCCTCATGTGCAGTTCGGTGACTACGTACTGCAATGACAACAGGCAACAACTCGGTGTTGACAACCCAATGATCATGAGTTGGGGAAGACGTGCGACGATGCTGGTGGTGGGCTTAGCTAGCGAGTAACGGGGCAAGCTGCAGGTGCAGCAGATAGGCTAACAGGAATAGATGGCCATATGCATGGCCCGAGACCCGATGGCCCAGCCCAAGCTAGGCCTTGTGATTTGGCCCGGCCTAGGCACGGCACGGCCCGACTTGGGTTGTGCCCGTGCTGGCCCGGCCCAATAGCACTGCTGTGTTTAGGCTGCTACCTCGGCATGTTGGGCCGGCACGGCCCGGCACGAAGTTCAGGGATGCAAAACAGATTTAGCATGCTGGGCTGGCACGGCCCGGCACGAAGTTTTGAGATGTAAAACAGATTTATTTTCAACCATATGTAAGACATAGCACAAAGTATAGGAAAAAAAATAGACGTATTATATGGCATGGCCTAAAGAGTAGGGGCGTAAAGACTTATTTTAGCTATATATATATATATATATATATATATATATATATATATATATATATATATATATATATATATATATATATATATATATATATTTATTTATTTATTTATTTATATATATATATAAGGAAACGCTATCTCATCCCTATTGGTATCGGTTTGGGCCACTACTGCTAAAACAAACCCCAGTTTAAGTAAAGAACGGTGGGTTCTCAAAATCCAGTATCGCCAAGCCTCGTTATTCTCTTGCCCCAACTTATGCGGGGTGCAAATTTGTCGATTTGGATAAGTACTATAAGCCTAAGTATTTTATTGATCAGGCGGTACCCAGATTTGAACTGGGGATAAAGGATTTGCAGTCCCCTGCCTTACCGCTTGGCCATGCTGCCAAAAAATACGATCTAAAATCGAGAAAATAGCAAGTATTCATCCACGTTTCTTACTAAAACTAACTTTCTTTTATCTTAAATCTAATTCTACTTACTTTTTTCCAATCTTTTTCAAAAAATCTATTCATGCTTTTTTTGGATCCAGTTTCGATTATTCTCCTCAAAGGATTCTATCTTAAAACACACATTGCTAACACTAGAAAACTTCCCTTTTCTTTCTATTGAAATGAAAAAGGAGAAAAGTGGATTATATATATATATATATATATATATATATATATATATATATATATATATATATATATATATATATATATATAACAACCAAAAGAGAGAGGGAAAATAGACTTATTTTAAAGAAGTCACGATAGGTCGCCCGTGCCTTCGGGTCATCACGCCACGGCCCGACTACTGGTGGGCTGTGCCTGAGCTTGAGGTGCAGCACGTGGGCTGGCACGGCACGTCCCGAAGTGCCGACCATACCGTGCCGGCCCGATGGCCTTAGGCCGTGCCTAGCCCATATCTGGGCCGGGCCATGCCGGACAGGCCTTATGGCCATCTATACTAACATGTGCCTGATTTTAATATATGGGTTTTTATTTTTGGACGTTGATTTTGAACGTCCCTACTTAATTATGTCCATTAAGGGTGTGTTTGAGGAGAAGGAGATTGAGGAGATTAGGAAGATACGCAAAATGAGCTGAGTATTAACTATTTTAAATTTCAAAAATGGATTAATATGATTTTTTAAAGCAACTTTCCTATAAAAATTTTTTGCAAAAAACACACTGTTTAGTAGTTTGGGAAACGTGCGCGCGGAAAACGAAACAAACGAACTCACTCTCTCACCCTCTCGAAAGCTGCCTAAGTCCATTTTGAGGAGTGTTTGAAGCGGTTTCAGTGTTCACTTTTATATACTTATACTGCAAATGTGTTTGAATGGAGGATGTGCTGATTTGCAAGTGTGTACGTATGGATCTATGTGTGTGGTTCTTCTTTTCTTTTCTTCTTTTTTTTGCTTGAAATGAGTATTACTGTCGGTCCAAGGCATTGACTCACTGTTGGTTCTGCAACCGGCTCACTGCCTACGGTCCATTACCGATTTAAAAACAAGCAGTGAGCGGTTAGTGTGTGATTAATTATTGAGTATTAATTAAAACTTACATGGTAAGTTACCAAAGTTCTACTTGATCAATATCATGACATATACATTACAAGACAACTCCTACAAGTATAAAGGGAACCTGTGGATATATAAGAGTAAAGTCCATCATCTGTGGATATATAAGAGTAAAGTACATCAGCGGTACAAGTTTAGGGACCGGTGATGGATTTTACTCCATCTAAAGGTGTGTTTAGTTCTTTGGGTGTAAAGTTTTTGAAGTATATGGACGCACATTTAAAGTAGAGAAAATCCCTTGTGTGCACATGAAATCTTACTGAATCCTTTCCATACCCTCGAATTTTGCTCGTTCTCTCTTGTACCTCCGAATTTTCACTTTGATCCCTTACATACCCCTCCCGTTAGGTTTCCATCATTTCACTGTTAGGTTTGGTTGAAAATGTCCATAATGCCCTTGAGGATGAAGGAGCGACAGCTAGCTTGAAAAACGATTCAAAAAATTGTTGAGTTCTAACATGTGTATTTTATGAAACTTAAACAATTAGTGCACATGTAAAGATAAATTTTGAAAAAAAAATAGATGTGGAGTAATGGATCATTTTGTGGTTCTGAGAAATACAATTGCATGACATCTAAAGCATCATTAAAAAAAAACACATCAGGACCATACATCAAGAACAGGAGCAGCCTGACCACAATTCTATACATAAGTACCATCCAGAACAGGAGCATATCCATACACCATAATTCCATATGTCAGGATCATCCATACAAGAGCATCAGGACCCTCCAGAACAGGAGCATAAATACACCATAATCTCATTTCCATACGCAACTGTGCAGAAGCAAGCCTAACGAAGAAGAGGAAGAGAAGATAAAAGCCTATCAGCAAGCAACAGGGCTCAGGGGATGGAAGATTGGGAACCGCCAGCCACCGCCGAGGAGAGGAACCTCGGGCTCCGACGGGAGCCACCATTGCCGCCACCACCGAGAGCTCGGTTCTGAGATGGGACATCTAGCTCCAACAGGAGCAGCAGTAGCAGCCTCTGATGGTGGCTCCTGCCGATGCTAGAGTTCGGTCGATGGGGATGGGACCTTGAGCTAGCGCCGTGAGGGAGCTCGTTGTAGCCGAGCAGTTGCGGAGCCGCAGGCCCGATGGGAAGGTGACTCGCAGCCGTGACGGGACAGCTATGGGATGGCGGCGCGCGCGAAGGGAGGATGGTAGCCAGCGACGCCCGCGACGGAGGGCCGTGGACGCGATGGGAGGGCGGTGGCCGGCGGCGCCCGCAACGGGAGGGGCGTGGTCGGCGGCGCGAGCGACAGGAGGGCGGTGGCCGGTGGCCGGTGGCGAGCGCGAAGGGAGGCGATGGGATGGCGGCGTGCGCGATTGGAGGCCGGCGGCGCGCTTCGTGTGGAGAGGATAGGGGAGAAGAGAAGGGATTCGATCTGGTTTGCTAAGGTTGCCAGGGGCATTTTAGTATTTTTTAAAAATACTGACAAGGCAACACACAGATTAAGTCACATATAAAACGGAAACCTAACGAGAGGGGCATGTAAAGGATAAAAGTGAAAATTCAGGGGTATAGAGGGGACCAAGTAAAATTCAGGGGTATGGAAGGGATTGGACGAGTTTTCATGTGTATACAAGGGATTTTCTCTTTAAAGTATTAAACGTAGACTAATAACAAAACGAATTACAGATTCCGCGTGTAAACTGCGAAGTGAATTTATTAAGCCTAATTAATCTATCATTAGCAAATGTTTACTGTAGCATCACATTGTCAAATCATGGCGTAATTAGGCTCAAAAGATTCTTCTCGCAATTTACATGCAAACTTTGCAATTGATTTTTTCCCACATTTAATGCACCATGGATGTATTCCCACATGTAATATGACATTTTTGGCCAAATTTTTTTATCTAAACAAGGCCTAACACAAGTTAATACAGGCCAAGCAACTCCCGATAAGCCAAGTCGACGACCACGGCAACCTCTTGCTAAGCTCTGTATAAAGGTATTTGTATTTTTTTTTCTTTGTTTGGCACATGAGAGGTTCTTTACAAATCCTTCCCTAGATAAAATCAGCCCTAGGTATATATTTTATATTACCAGATATTAATTACAACACTTTATTCTACTTAATTAAAAAATTCAAGCACATGCAGTGTAATTTGGACCTCCACTCTTGAGTAGAGTTGACGTTAATTTGTTTCTCATTTTAATTTACCGGTAAATGTTAAAATTACATTCATATTTGTTCAGGATGGAGACTAATATTTCTTGAAACCTTGTACTTATTTGAAAGAAAGAAAAAAATGGCTTTTCTATTTGATGTATATATATGCTGTTATTGTCCGATATTATACTTGTTGAATATTTTGGATCACCCTATGTGTGAGCGGAATTAATGTACCGTCCTTTTACCTCCACTGTTACACGTTTAAGTTAAAATTAGCTTCACAATGAGTTTACACCATTCTTCGCCTATCAGATTTAATTTGGGTTATTTGCAACAAACTATTTATGGTATCACGTTCAAGGATGGTGTTTTAGGGCTTATTTGGAACAAAGGAATTGTGGAGGAATTTCGAAGGATTGAAATTCTTTGGAAAAATTCCTACATGATCCTTTGGAATAAAAGGATTGAGGTTCACAAAATGCTTCAAAATTCCTATAGAATAGCTCATTTCATAGGAATTTTCAAGGAAAATTTTCAAGAGGCAAGACTTCATGTTTTCTCTTGTTGGCTTTCGATTTCCTATGTTTTTCTATAGTGCTACCAACAAAAATTATTTTTGCAAATTCTGGATTCACTTCCGGTGGGATTTAGTGAAGCGTGATATCCTAATTAATCTTGTGTTTTTCTGCATTTTCAAATTCTCACATTTTAAAGGAGCCCTAGTACGTATTAATTCTCATTAACCGAGTGTAATGGATGTCCTTAGATGCAGGGAAAATTTTGCCGGGATATTTGAAAATTTGACTTAGTGAGTTTTGTGTGTGGTGTGCTGTGGTGGACTGGTGGCACTTGTGGCAAGTAGCTAGATACATTTTTTTTATAATGGAATAAAATTCCGGCCTTTGCTCAAAGAGCGACAGCTAATCTATACTTCCTATAAAGTTACAACCCACTAACTCTAAAGCTTAACATGCAACCATGCCACGTCATGTCACCTAGTTATTACACAAACTAGCACACAAAAACAGGTAGTAAAAAACACACTAGCAAAGCTAAAGGAAACACAAGCTAATAAATGTCCATACAAAACAAAGACATAATGGCAAGTAGATACATGTGCCATTATTACACTATATTTAGAATTTAAACTTTAAATCATTGTTGTTTAGGAGCTCTCAAGAAGAGAAAAAGATCATTATAATTATCTCGTTTTTACTACTCTTTATGTATTACTAGCGAATGATCTGGATGTGAAATTTTACGTATAGGTGAGGAATATTAGAAGCATGCTGATTGTTTTTCAATTTTATCTCATATTTGTTACTTACCGTGCACTTTGAGTACACTCAAATTTTATGTTCGATCGGAAGATACTCCCTCAATTCTACTCCTTCCATTTCACAATGTAAGTCATTCTAGTATTTCCTACATTTATATTGATGTTAATGAATCTAGACATATATATATGTCTAGATTCATTAACATCAATATGAATATGGAAAGTGCTAAAATGACATATATTGTGAAACGGAGGAAGTATAATGTAAGGTTTGGTCAAACTTGCACAATTTCCAAAACTAAGCTGAATTTGTCTTATAATTTCTCATATACTATAAAGTATATAGCAACAAAATTATATCCATATGAAAGTATATTGAAATATCAATCCAATGATATTATTATTAGCAAATAAAATTTAATTTATATTATACTAATGGTTAGTCAAATGTTTTTGAAGTTGAATCTTGAAATGTGTGTATGTTGCATTCTTAAATTAGAATCAATCGTATATGTGAACTATTAATTAAGTAATCACCATACAGCACTTTGTTTTTTTTTTCCAATTGGTAATAGCTAGATGTGGAGAAATCGCACTGGTATGTCTTTGCTGATTGTGTTTGAGAGAAGGGAGAAAAAGAAATTGAGAAGGTACACAAAATAAGTTAAGGTATTAGATTATGATTAATTTAGTATTAATTATTTTAAACTTGAAAACTAGATTAATATGATTTTTTTAAGTAATTTTTACTTTTTTAAAAAACATTATACCTTGAAAAACATGTGCGTAGAAAACGTTAATTTTTTTTTCCTGTTAGTTCTCCCAACATGTGCGTAGAAAACATTATACCTCTTCTTCCACCACCGCTAATATTTCCAAACAGTGAGATAGGTTTATGTACTTTCAATCCCGTCAATCAAGAAAAAATGTATTTTAAAGTGAGGTACAAAATGAGGTACAAAAGTGAGGTACCAAATGAAAAAAAAAAAGTGAGGTACAAAATGAAAAATATACCCCAGAGATTATATATATATGAATAAATTGTTTTCATTTTTTGAGCTTTCAGGTGTACGGTGGTTTTATTTAATTTCTCTTGCAGCGCACGGATATTCAACTATTATTTAAAAGATAGACACTGTAATTACGTTCTCAAGAAAACTAATAATATTAGCAAAGGCGCTTATATAGAGGGATGTATGATGTATCTGTGCTTACAGTTACAGGGACACGTATTGGGTGCTCCTGTTGCATTGTTTCTGGTGAGAGGCCCTGCAGACCACGTACATAAAAGCTATAATCAGAAACAAATTGAGCAAATTACAGTTTGGATTATTTTTTATTATTTAAGATCCACTTTACAACACAGCTTGACCAATAATTTCACTTTGGTAATTTTATTTACATTATACTTTATTAGCTAAATGCCCATGCATTGCTATGGATAAATAAAAGGAAAAAAAATTATAATATACCCTAACATAAGTAAAAACATATTTTTCATGAAATACACATATTACCCATCTTATTGTTATAGATAATACTTACCTTAATTTAATTTTTATGTGAGTTTTTATATGTGACTATCTACTTAGATTTAGTTGTTATGTAATATTAAGAAATTCATGGGGGTAATATGTAAAAACAATAATGAGAAGCCAATGGATGACTTTAATTACTTTATATCCCTATTACTCCCTCTGTCTAGATTCATTAACATCAATATGAATGTGGAAAATGCTAGAATGACTTACATTGTGAAACGGAGGGAGTAGATTTTAATTAAAGTCAAGGCTGTGAAATGATGACTTTAATTAGTTTGGATCCCTAATAGATTTTAAATAAAGTCAAGGCTGTGAAATGGCAGAAGCCAATGGATGACTTTAATTAATTTATTAGGGATCGAAGTTCATCGTGGCAAAATTGTAAACAACTATACTTGAAAAAAAACCACATTAAATGGTTAAATCAGTACTGCCTCCATCTCATATAAATTGCACTTCTAATTAATTTAGAACAAAATAGTAGGATTGTAAAATAACCACAATCACCTTATTTAATGAACACAATATATGCACATATTCTATATATATAATTGATTAAAAGGAAGCTTAAGACAATTAAGGAAACATTTTTAGATTAAAGGAAGATTGTGGGATAGAAGGCTGGAAGACCATAAGAATATATTTAGATTAATCAATTTGCTAGGTCCAACGTGATTAGAATTATATTTTTTTAGATAAAGCTTAGAATAAAAATTGCAATTTATACGGACGGAGGTAGTATAAACAAATGCAGAAGCATAGAAGAGGACCTGTTTCAACTGTCTGAACAGCAGGGACACGTGATGCTTCTTCGGCTGCAACATTTGGAGTCTCCCCGGCTGGAGCCTGCGGTGTTTCTGCCGCTTGATACCCTGTGACCTGACTCCCTGGCCCAACTGGAAGCGTAGTCCAAGATAAATGAGAGAAAGATAAGAGATGCGGAAAAGATGAGCCAGATACATATAATTTAAAGAAAATTGAGTAAACTGCACCTACGGTACAACAACTTAGCAGGTGAGTGCAATATAGTGCAAGAACTTAAAAATTGAACGTTCGAGTTCAACAACTTGATAAGTGGGTGCGTTCTTGTACAGGAACTTGACAATTTAGTATTTTGTGCATCATCTTGGCTAAGCATATGCTAGGTTAGTTTTTTCATGATGTCAATATACCAATACACATTAATCCTACATATATTACCACTTATTATATTAAATTTAATCTTTAAGAATTATATTGCACATACAATTTACATCCAATTACCTTTAAGAATTTTTTGTTTTCTTCACCTTCTGAAATATCAACCGAAATAATGTCTACATCCAGTTAAATTAGGATAAAAATATAAATATGTTTATATAAATCCACGCTAGTATATTGTCAAAATAAGTACTTCAAAATTTGAATTTATATAAAAAATTGATCTAAATAATTAAGTTGTCACATAACATCTTCATTTATTATATCAAAATCGTACCTACCTTGCAAGTTGTTATATTTATACGATCACTTATAAAGTTCTTATATTAAATTGCACATTCCTGCCAAGTTGTTGCACTAGAACGCTTATTTTTTAAGTTATTGCACCAAGTTGTACCCACCTACCAAGTTGTTGCACTGTGGGTGCAATTTACTCAAGAAAATTTAAGAGAGAGAAGGGGAAATTCAAGTTTTGCATGCGGCCGGTGGAGAAGTAGAAATATTTCTACAGATTTTGTTTTTTATAAAAAAATGCCTCTTATGAATGGACCATTACAAAATTAAAGGTTCATTTCCTTGTAGTGAACTTAACTACCACTACCAGAGAATTAATTTTTCTGGACGAGAATATTTTCAAATTGTAGATGGAACATAACTGCTCCCATTTGCAAAAAATTGAATCCCCATGCACGGTTTAAGAACTGCATTCAAAAATTAATTTTCTCAGACGAGTCTGCTCCCCACATGCGAAAATAAGGCTACTTTTACATTCGGGCTTGTTAAGTGCCTCGCATGTGAAAATACCCTCTTCCCACTCTTTTTTCCCAACTCTCTCTCTCCCACTAAGTCCTCTCCCGTTCACTCTACTACTTCACTCTCCCCACTCCTCACACCCACTGCGATCTCCCCCACTCCTCCATTCCTCTCCCTTCTCTTCCCAACGTCGGGCTCCGTCTCGGGCGACGTTGGTGGCGGGATCTGGTGGCAGCGACAAGCGAGGGCGTGGGCGATTGTGGCTGCGCAAGAGGGTGATGGTAGCGGTGGGTGAGGTGAGAGCGGAAACGGTGGTGGGTTTGGGCAAGAGGGATCCTGCCGGCGGCGATGAAGGAAGGGGCGGATCTGGCACCCCCTCCCCCTCCCACGCGGATGCGGCCGCCGCTACGTACCCCACACGCATGGATCCACTGGTGGCGACGACGGGAGGGGAAGATATGTGTGCCCCCTCCCCCTCCTGCATGGATCATGCCGCCTCTCTGACCCCCATCAGCTGCAGCCATGGGATGGGCGGATCAAACAGTGGTGACGAGATGGGCAGATCCGGCACCCCCTCCACCTCTGCGCCCCGCCCTGCGCGAGGATCGGCTGGTGGCTTCGAACGATGAGGATGATGTCAACGATGATGACGATGGTGGTGAGCGGCGACGATGGAGCTCGAGGGTAGCGGATCCAGCGGCACCACCATCGGGAGGGGTGGATCCGCCACCCCTGGCCCGCAGCCCTCTTTAACGGCTAATGTGGTGATGACGGCAGTGACGGACTACGGCAAGGACGACGACGGCGCCTTGGGGAGCTAGGGTTTCGACCGAATTTTTGTTTAGGAGATTTTTTCGTCGATTTCTTTTCCATGCGGTCAATATAGGTGACCGTGTCATTTTCGCATGCAGACGCGCTAGCCCATGGGAATATCGTGCTAAGTTTATAGGAAATGATGTTGAGCATCTAGTCCACCCTAACTTAGATCTAAACGCGTACATTGTTGCGAACACACTAGACTTTTCATCATGAATATATTTTTTAATTATAATTTTCCACGAAATGTATGAGGTATATACACTACTACATAACCTTTATTGGTGCCGGTCAATAACCGGTCATAGATATCAGTTTCCTAACCGTTACCAATTTGACGGCACCAATACCTAGCAACATAGATACCGGTTTAAGAACCAGCATCTATAGAGATTATATGTGTTGGTTCTTACTATGTAACCAGCATCTATAGTATTCAACGAATTAAGAAAAAAAAAGGGCCCAATGGAGCCTAATCCGGCGGCCGGTGGACAGGCACTCGGCGAGGTCAGGGAGGAGCTCGGCAATGGGTGGAGAGCGACGACCTCCGCCTCGACCGTCTTCTAGATCGATTTTTTCAGGACGAGATGCCCTCTAGGTTGCTGGCCGACAATATATAACTTCCCTCGGATGAAAAATTCATTCCCCGAGGGCGATTTTAGGGCCGGCATACAAAAATAAATTATCACAGACAGGCCTCGCATGCGGCCCTTAAGAGACCCACATGAAAGTCCTATTCCATATACTCTTCGATTTAAAGTCAAAGCCTCATCCTCTCATCTACTCATATCTCTTCTCCCCCACACATCAACTCCCTCCCTTCCCCATCCCCTCTCCTCTCCTACTGTCTCCTCAACCTCCTCCTCCCTCCCACTTCCCCCTCCCCACTCTCCCTCCCTGCCACTCCTGTTTGGTGGGCTTGGGTGGTGGATCCAGAAGCGTCGCCCTCAGCCCCAGGAGGGGCGACGGCGGAGCTCTAGGGCAGTAGATCCGGCAGCGCCTCCATTGGCCTCGGGAGGAGCGATGAGCTCGAGGGTGGGCTGCGACGGTGACGGTGGCGGCGAGCTCAAGAGGGATGGGAATGGAAGCTAGGGTTTTGGCCAAATTTGGTTTTTGAAATTTTTTCGCTAAAATTATTTTCACAGACAGTCAGCATAGGTGACCACAGGCATGCAAAAATCCCGTTTTCGCTTGCAGTTGTACTGGCCGCATGAAAAAATGTTGATTTTCGCAAATACCTGGGTGTAGGCGACTGTTTCACCCACATGAAAAAGGATTTGGGCCGCTTGCAAAAATCGTTTTTACTTGGTGATAGTTGAGTAGTTTTCAAAATGATTACTAAATGAAATCGACTTCGGGCGCAATGTCCGCGATACAATCTACCCCCACCTCCTGCGATATTGCTTGGCTCCATCACTTAATTAACTTTGCCCCAAAAGTATCGTGCAATATTGCTGGTGACAGTGTGACACCGCTGTTAGCATAGCCCTCTCCTTCCCCCATCGTTCTTCTAGATGTGGTATTTTGTATTGATTTTTCCAGCAGAGCCTTGGCTTGTCGTATCCGTCTAAATTTCATAGTGAAAAAGTCATAGCAAAACCGGTAACAACTTGTATTAGAAAACAAGTAAGTGTAATTCTCCTTAAATAATAAAATATGTTGACAAGGTGGAACATATTTACTAGTAATATCATCTGCAATTGCCTGAATCTCAAGATGTTCGTCAAACTAATCATATATTTTATTGAGATATGTAACTAACCCGAACCTCTCTCCAAGAATTGTACATGAGAATTTCGTCTTGTAGTACGGCTCAAACAGAAACACACACAATTTTCAATGGATATCAGAGAAAAGGTTCGAAACTTCATCCAGCCACTAGGTTGGGTCATTTTTGCCTCGAAGATATGAACTAAGAAAAGTAATTATAATGCCAAAAAAAATCTCAAGTTGGCTCGTTTATCTTTCTTACATTTTTGGATGCAGAGGGCACTCCCTTAAAAATATGGTGTATGTAAGCATCTACAATGTGAACCAAAAGTAGTCCCTTATAAATCTATATGGGTACCTTTATCATTATGGAATGTAGCATTAGAAAGAGAAAATAGGATGAGCTACCTATAGCTATAAACAACACCCATATGGATTAAAATATATTATTTATCCATCTTTCTTCTCTCTTTTTTGAGAAAGCGTTGGCCCTTGGATTGATTCTTTTATCCTTGGGTCCCAGCTTAATGCCAATTGATATCTTTATATATTGTAGATTGAAACAAGAAAAGTTTATTTATATGAGTCTCATCATCTCTATATAGATTGGTGATGTCCTAGATAGAGAGAGTACTCAAGTACTACTTTTCAAATAGATAATGAAAATATAGTTTATTCCATCTAACCATGAAAGATCGTAGTTTTAGATAGTCAAAGATTATATATATATATATATATATATATATATATATATATATATATATATATATATATATATATATATATATATATATATATATATATATATATATATATATATATATATATATATATATATATATATATATATATATATATATATATATATATATATATATATATATATATATATATATATATATATATATATATATATATATATATATATATATATATAGTAAAATTAACTGGGGCTCCATGGTGCCCAGGCTTCAAGATTCAAATTAAATATATACGCAATTCAAATGACTATGAAATATTTTAAAAATGTTTAAGTATGAACATTAACTTCTTTACAAACTAGTTCAAACAAGTTTAAACTAAATTTGAACATGTTTAGTTATATTTTGACTATAGGTATCTAACATCCATACATATAATTAGTTAGGTATGTAAAATATGGATTGTAAAATAAAGCTGAATTTGACTTGTTTTGTTGTTAGGTATAGGTATGAATCAAATTCTTATATCTAGGTATATACTCACGATTTGAAAATAGTTAATGAGTTATAATTAAAAAAAAGTAGTTCTAGGACAAACCCCGCAGGAGTCTGGATTTTTCACAATTTGATCATTTTGAAAAACTTATTTCGTAAATAGACCATAAAAAAACTTAACCCAGAAATAGTCCTTTTTGGGGCGCCAGAGTCGCTGGCGC